TTAAATGACAACTAATACATAAATACTGTAAGTATAAATAAGGAAAATGTGCTCACCTACTGACTATGTGCAATGGCCTCTGTCAATGGGCTTTGTGCTTCTGTCGATGGCATAATTTTGACATACTTCTGAGATCATTTTGAATTCATTGACAGGTGCATTTGACCTCCTTTGACCTACTTCAAGTGGGTTTTGCATTCCCATGAACATGCATTCACATGAACTTGTATGGGGATGCAAAATCTGCCTGAAGCAAAAGCCAATTGACACAGGCTCTAACAAAGATTAATTGGTAATAATATTCTCCACAGTTTAAAATGAAAGGAAACATTAAACTTACCTCATGTTTATCTGGAGCAATGAAATTTAATTGGCAGTTGGACTCATACATGACTGAAAATGCCAGCTCGAGCAACTCCTAAATATTAAGAAATAGCTAGGTGTAAGTATGAAATAGAGATGAAAAGCACTTGTGTCAGTCATTCTATGGAACATAGCATTCATGACTGTAAAGCAAAGATTTTAATAAAATTGTAGATTATTTTCATTAATGCTACAATTTCAATATACACCTTTCCCAGACAGGCAGTTTTATTTACATAAGCTGAACATGATCCAGTCAACAAATTCAAGAAAAATGACAAGTTCACATGGTTTGGCTCACATGATATGTGCAAAGGCATTTTGCTATATGGGAGTTTTCTATAAGATGACAACTTCAGCTGTCAATTTTCGTTGGGGCTCCTTCGTTACCAGTAAATCGATTTTTTTAATCAAACAGAGTGGTGCCTTTAGGGTCACACACAGTTCGTATTTTTTAATCAGCAGGACTTGGCTGCAGTTCGAGAAGTGTATGGCCAGCTTTAGACAGGCAGCTTATTATTGCTGTCTGCGTAACCTTTTGAGATTTTCCCCTCGCCTCTTGTAACGGTGACAGCGTTGTCATCAGAACAGGGAAAATCTTGTCAATTAAACATCAGGCAGCAATACAAACCCCTTAACGCTCTATCCAAAGCTACAAAAGAAATTTGGCTGAAGTTGCAATTTAAGGAACAATTCCTCAGATATTTTCAATGGGGTGTTTATGGAGTAAATGCCCCTTACCTCAAGGCTAGATCTACTGATTTCAAAGTAGATGTAGGAATTGAAGCGCCACACTAATTAAAAAAGTCCAGATATTAATTTATTCCATTAGGGTCAAAGGACATGTAAGTAGAGTAACCAACACTCCCTTTATCAGGGCCTAATAGAAATCTTGTATGTAGACTAAGGGCCCTACAGCTTAAAAATTATATTGAACTGTTGTTTTGTCTTATAGTGTCCTCAGTCTCCCTGACTGTATTGGGGCTGCTTCCTGCATAGATGCCAATACTTCTACTCTGTCCAAGAGACCATACACGATAACCTCTGGAGCTTCTTTATTTATTACTATTACTCTTGTTTGTTGTAATTGAAGTACTCCAGGCTCGTCAGTGGCTGGTTTGGTAACCTACTGATAATAAAAGCAGTAAGCAACTACTGTAACTTGTTAATTTTGCTCTAACTTAAATGTAATGTCTAATGCAGGTTTTTCAAGGGGAATCGTGTGATGACTATGCAAGAACAACTTAATGTGCCTTTCCTGTGAGTTTAAAGCTTGTTGACACCATGCTGACACCATGCTGAAACCATGAAAAAAGGCAACCCGCTGTTTTTAGTGAGTTCTCACCAGGGTCAAAGATGACTGTATTAATGGAGTAAAAAAAAGCTGGAAAAAAAGGACTTTTTAATGGGAGCAGTGGTAAAGAATTTAGTGCATAGTAAATAATGCACATGGTTATGCATTCATATAATAATACAAAGAAACACCATTTCAAGGACACTAATGTGTAAACGGTCAGATACACAAGAATGGCTACAGAGAACATTAGATGAATATGCTGGATGTTTATCAAGTTTTATGAAAAACTCAAGCTACTGGAAAACAGTTAGTACCTCTATAATTAACACTGGTATAAGCATAAAAAGGGAGAAGATTTACATTTTTACCAAAATGTTTTGTGCAAGAACAGCAGATATTGCCACAACAGTCCTTGCCAATAAGAAAAACAGCCGGAATTTGCAGAAATACAAAGAAAAATCAAAAGGATTTAAAATGAATGTTTTAACCCACTCCATCTTGATTTGTTCTTGTTGATTAACATGCAAAATAATTGGTTATACTTTACTTGGCTGAGATATATTCTTTACATTAGTACTAACAATTCTGACACATGAGGAGCCCACTGTGTAATTATCCTACTATGACGGCTTCAAGGCATCCGTAGATGTCATCTAATAATTACAGACTTACTTAACAAAGTGACAAAAATTGTGCCACTGCACAATGAGGAGTGCAGTGGCATGAAATGAATAGCTCTAATGAATCATTACAGGAAGTCAGAAAAAAAGCAATGTGTTGAATATTGCATGAAACATGCTTTTAAGAGGGCTCACCTTGTTTTGTTTGAGAGCACCTTTCTCCTTCATGTGAGGACAGTCTTTTCCAGTCAGTATTGCTTTAATGTCTGCCACTGGCACTATATGTAGGGAAAAAGGCAAAAAAGCTTTTAGGACAGTACAAAAACGTATTTACTGTAGAAACTGCAGGTAAATACATTAATAATAGAAACAAGTTAATTACAAGGTTGAAATACATGAATGTAAACTGTCTAACCTGTCAAAGGGTTTCTAATTCTGTGCAGGCAGTATTTATTAAACAGAGTTTAAATAATGAATGGTCTCAATAAGGCACCCCCTCACAAAATGCTTTATGAGAGGATCAAGATCATTTATTATTTAAACAAAGACTGTTATGAATTTTAACACTACCCAATACCATCTCTTTCTCACTAGTTACAAATATGGTTCAGTTATAAGGATTGGTATTATGTATGCCTTGGGAGTGTTCCTAGTGGCAAATGCAAGGGTTTTTGCGCTTCTCTGTATGCACTTAATAAGTACTGTACAATCTGGTCTAGGATAAGGTTACCATTCATCCCCGTCTGCCAAGGGCAGTCCTTGCTTTGAGGGGGTCTATCCCTGGAAAATTAGCATCCCTGTAGATGGCCCCAGCTGTCTGGTGTTGGAGGGTGGGTCCGATGCCGAAACATCCCAGGTCTCACCATCCTGTCTGCCCCTTTTTTCTTTGCCATTTGTGGCACTGCAGTTCCATTCGCACTGCAGCAACCTCAGATACAGTGGCAGTATCTTTGTATACAGGGCCAAGGAGAGCTCCTGTATGCTCCTCTGTGGACACTGTGCCCTGCCGCTGTGTCTGAGGTCTGGTAAGTTTACATCAGGGGGGTCTAGGGTCTGCACTGGGGAATTGGGTGGTGAGAAGTCTGTATTAGGGGCAAGAGGTCTGTAGGGGGTAGTCTGTATTTGGGGAGGTCTATAGGCAGGCGTGAACCTGTATTGGGGGTGAGATCTGTACTGGGGAGGATTTGGGGGAGATCTGTACTGGGGAATGTGGAATTGTACTGGTAAGAGGGGGCATTTCCTGATGACCCCTGTACTCCATGCGCTACCTACTCATGACCCCTGCACTTTGTATGTTACATACTCCTGACCCCTGCACTCTGTGCATTACACATTCTTGACCCTTAGTAGAGTAGGCTCAGGGTTTATTTAATCCTTTCGCTGCCAAGCCCTGCGGAGCGCTATTAACCTCAGCTGGCCACACCATTTTTGCAATTTTTCACCTTTTTTTAATTTTAAACTGCAGCTTATATTGTATGAAAGCACAGGCCCGGTAGAACAAAAAAATGGTGCTACTAATTTTGTAGGTCCTGTGATAAATGCAAAATGTTTATCAAATCAATCTTAACCCGATAAACATACACAATTAAATTGATTAAAGCCAACTGAAATCAGTATCAGTGCACACAAAAATACTTTTCTGACTAAATATAAAAAATATAACTGTATTGAAATCATAAATAAATATTAGTAAATTTTAAATTGTGCCCTTTTTCTAAACTAAAAAAATTGTTTGTGCACTGTGTTGGTGTGTGGGTAGTGATAAAATGATGCAGGCGTACATTTAAATCGCAACACAGCGTATCACAACACACGGCAATGCATCACAATGATTTGCCACGTGCTGGCAAACAGTTGAATTAATGTTATTTTAAAAAGAAAAAAAATCAACCACTGCGTTGTGTTTTAACAATGCACCGCAGCACATGTGCATGGCGTACACCACAATGTGGTGCACACTGTTACATGTGTATACATTGTGTGTGTGTGTGTGTGAGGGGTATTTGTTATTTTGTTTTAATTTTTTTTTACTGTTGGGGGCTTTGGTAAAAAATCAGGGGTCTAAACAGACCTTTTGAGTCTTACATCTTTTTTTTCCTGTAGCGCCTGTTCTGAATGAATGGGAAGCACTCAGTACAGAGGCTTCCTATTCGTTCACAAACAGGAGATAGCAAATATTTACTATCAACCAAGTTATGAATGGATAGAAACACAACTCATGAATGAACAGGAAGTGATGTAAGCACTTCCTGTGCATTCATAACTGAGGACAGATAGTATGCCTCCAGTTGCTTATAAACATTGGAGCACTTTGTCTTTACATCTTCAATGTCTGCTTCATCTTCCAGAATTCTGTGACCAATTGTTTCAGGGCAAGCTAGAAAATGGGGGTGTGAATAAAAGTGGGCATGGTGAGTAGAGTGTCCATTGGATTTCATTTTGAAACTCTGGTAACAGGACATTCCCAAGCTTATGAATAATCAATGAGAAGTATCAAACAAATGAGGTCCTCACTCTGCTCTGTCCCACTGTCCGGTATTAGAAAAAAAATAATGTGCAATGCAGTAGCACCTCATTGGTTTGCAATGCTGCCCTTCTTTCTGCCTGTCTGCTGTGCAGAAGATATAAAGAGTGAGTCAGGTATTTTTGCAGGAGTGTACAAAATTATTATTTCATTAATTAACATGGTATCTGGCTAGAGGTCAGTTTAAAAAGGCTATAAGTTCCAATAATAATACATTATTTTAAAATAAAGCACTTTGTACAGCTTTAAGCTTCTACTTAAACGCTGCATACACTGTCAGTATGCGGTTTCCAGAAATATTTAAATCTATTTGCTAAAAGAACTAATTACTTATAAACCTCCTTCAGTATGTTGTCATTAATCCAGGAGAACAATGTCACTGATTTGTACTGCTGTTGGGTGTATTGTATATTTTCCTATTATTTTTCTGGAGATTTTAAGTTCCACTCTGCTGTAGTTTCAATCAGCAAAAACAACAGGATTAATTTTACATGCACAGTGATCTTTATTTATGTTTACAGCAGATGCCAAGTCTGCAGCATTAATTATATTAGAGAGAAAATCCATAGAAAATCTCTTATTTTTATCCTTATAAGCCCCGACATGTTTTAACTCAACAAAGATGACATGCTGAATAACAAAAATAGACTATGCAGTGCAGAATCTTTTATTATGTTATTGTAATCAAAATGAAAAATGTATCACAAGACCTATATCAGCATTTCCTGTCTGTATCAACATTCTATTGCAGGTTCATAGCCAGTCAGAAAACCATAGTGAATGTGCATGAGTTCTGAAGATTAGTCAATTGGCAGGGGGCTTGGCTTAGGGGTAACCTCCTCTACTGTTGTTATGCAGTTATGCAATGTTTTGAGGGACATTGGACTGTTTTAAATCAACATTTTTCCAAAAATCTCCTGGAATATATATTTAAAAAAAGGCATATCTGCTTTAAGACCTGATCTAAGCAACTTTGGAATGATTGTTGATACCAGACATTGTGGTTGCAGCATCCCGGACTACGGACCTCCTGAGATTTTTCAGCAGTACAATCTCTAGCATTCAGAGAAAACAGTGGTCAAAAAAATCCATGATGGAGAGAGACCTGAGGAAATCGGCCAGAAATGTGCAAAGGTGACAAAGAGTTCATAAATGGTCAAAAAAATACTTTCCACTGAAGTGACTTGCAATAGAACATCTTTAAACTCGTATTCTGAAGCTTATAGAAGCTGGGCTAAGGTATCAAGACCAAAATGGATTTTACTTTTGTTAGCTAAGAAAAGGAAAATGAGACTGCAGTGGTCAACGGATACATCAACTGTTTGAAGATTGTTCAAATCTTGCCATGCCTGATAAAATCTCAATTTTAAAGAGACATGCAAATGATAGGTTTAGACTTTTGCTTACACAGCATATATTCATTGATCTATCCTGAATGAGTAATGGTATGGGAAAGCTTTTGTCGCCCTGAATACCAACTGATGGCACATTATACCTTATAGCAACCATACACGTCGTTAGGTCTTTCTTGTTTGGAAATGCAAGTACAAAGCACAAGAACAGAACATTTATTGATTGAAATGAGTGTATGGAATGCATAATTCTAGTTCTTACAACCAAGGAGTTATCAATGGAACCAATTAAGTTCATGGTAGAGCATGCCTGCCACTGAAGTAACAAGTAGGCATTATGTAGTTAGCCATCCCAAGGACATCTGATGCTATACAGTGAAAAAATATATGCTGTTAAATGTCCCCAGAATAGACATTTAAAGGGACCCTGTTCCCAACTCCTGTACTGTGATTTCTCCTGTTGGCTCCTATGCCACTACAAGACACAATAGTGACATAGGAGCTGGCAGATCAAACCACTGAGCACAGCAGAAGTATCTGATTCTGCATGATCTACTGCACGGACAGGCAAGAGGACATTTATTTTGAATCTTTATTTTAGAAGTCGTTACCTTTAAGCATCCTGTCCAATAGGCTTGCTAAATAACAGGGCTGAACGCAACAAAAGTCTAAGCAGAACATGACTCTAAATAAGGGGATAATCCGGGCTCTTAGCAGTGCTGCCAGTTCTCTTTCACTCTGTGCATGACTGCTGTACTATCATAGGAGATAATATGAGGATAAACAGGGAGCTGCACAAACACTGCAGTAAAGTATCTGCAGGGTTTCCAGAGAGCAGAATTAGGGCTGACATTCCCAGAAGTGTCAGATCCAGAAGAAACTTTTTTTTTCTATAAGCAAACAGTGAGTACAAATTATATGCTAATACTGTGAAAATTTAAGTTTGGTGACAGGGTCTCTTTAACAACTAGATTAGAATTCCAGGCCACAATGTGTCTAGTGAGATGGTTAAATTATCCTTTTACCATTTACATTTGATAACACATGACACCCTATATGGCTATATGACACCCCTAATCTCAACATAAAAATGGGACATATAATGCCACAGTACCTGGGATATGTGAAGTAAACAATACATAATAGGGACAGCCTTAAATCAATGCACACGAATGTCCCAAAAAAAATTGCACTGGAGAAGGCAGTCATTTATTTCTATTAAACGCAGGCTTTCCACAACTGTCTATTGGTCTCCACAGTAATGCCTGGAAAAAATAGGTCATGTCACCCTGTGTGGCCATATTAATGTGCTGTTTTACCCATTTCTTCATTTCTGTATGTGCCTATAAATGTATCCAGAAAAGAATAAAGGCATTGTAAAAGGAAAAAAAAAATGTTGGGATAGGTAAAGCTAACATTTAAAACGAATTCATCTCATACTTTCTTCTTTCCCTGGTATGAAATTAATCAGCCTTTTTGGAAAGGTTATTCTCTGCTGTGGGGAGACTGGCTTGTGTAGAAATACAGGTACAGATGGCTGATACATTGATATTTATACTCACACGTACCAGAATCTCACCTAGATAAACAAAGGGTGACGTGTACCGTGAAAGCATTTATCACATTATTATATTGATAGATGATTTATTGCTAATAAAGTGAGTAGTGACCAATTATCTATGCTACAGATGCTGTAATCAATTCAGAAGCCTGATTCTTCACTACTGAAATGATTCATATTGCAAACCATGAATAAGAATGTGAGAAAAAGCGAAATAATAATGTTAAATAAATAGTCTACATGTACTATGCTATACAGAGCATACAGTACATAGCGGTGAATATCAGCGGTATCCACAAGTGAATGAATAATGAGGAAAAATCCCCCTTTTACCTCATCCTAAAGGGGTGCAGTCTGGTCACATCCAAACAAAATATAAATATGCTGGATACGCAAACAGGAATAATAATATTAATAATAATAACAACACATACATTACTGTGATTTCAGAGCTGATGCTTAGTTGCACTGGAATGTTCACATCTATGTCCTCCATATAATAATTGCATTTAGACATTGTGACAATCACTTCACCATTCACCAGTAAATGATAATTATGAAATGAACTGCTACACCCACTGGCCCTAGTGCAAATAAGACACATTAAAGAAATACTCTACCGTGTTTCCCTGAAAATAAGACCTAGCGCTATCTTCGGGGATTTCTGTAATATAAGACCTACCCCGAAAATAAGACCTAGCGCTATCTTCGGGGATTTCTGTAATATAAGACCTACCCCGAAAATAAGACCTAGCGCTATCTTCGGGGATTTCTGTAATATAAGACCTACCCCGAAAATAAGACCTAGCGCTATCTTCGGGGATTTCTGTAATATAAGACCTACCCCGAAAATAAGACCTAGCGCTATCTTCGGGGATTTCTGTAATATAAGACCTACCCCGAAAATAAGACCTAGCGCTATCTTCGGGGATTTCTGTAATATAAGACCTACCCCGAAAATAAGACCTAGCGCTATCTTCGGGGATTTCTGTAATATAAGACCTACCCCGAAAATAAGACCTAGCGCTATCTTCGGGGATTTCTGTAATATAAGACCTACCCCGAAAATAAGACCTAGCGCTATCTTCGGGGATTTCTGTAATATAAGACCTACCCCGAAAATAAGACCTAGTTCGGGGTAGGTCTTATATTACAGAAATCCCCGAAGATAGCGCTAGGTCTTATTTTCAGGGTAGGTCTTACTTTCGGGGAAACACGGTAATGGCTGTGGATTAATTTTATTTTGATTGTTTCAGGTCTATATATTTTTAAGCTGTTGTTGGATACCTTTTTTTTTTCTCATTATGGGTTGACTGAACAGATCACACAGTAGAGCTGCCTGCTTCGAGGCACACTTTTATATGACACTTCATACTATAAAACCTATTGAGCTGTGTAAATTATTGGATTAATAAATCAAAAAAGCAAACTAATAGCCTTTAAAATGTAAAAAGGATTCTAAAGCTCCACATGCTGCTTCAAATGCAGAAAGCAAAGTATTTATATGCAAACAATTATTTTTACATGCCATAAACAATATTTTAAAATGTTTTTTGTCTAGTCAGGACCATAATTAAACTACCCTGTTTCCCTGAAAATAAGACCTACCCCGAAAATAAGACCTAGTTGTGACCATTGCCAATGGGGAACCTGAAGAGCCGTGGGAGAGAATCAGCGGTGCCAATGAAGCCAGCACTAGAGGAAGCGAGGCGGCAGCACATGGAGCAGAGCCGCATAAGCTGATGTTTCCTCTATAGCGCTGACTCCTGTCGCAGGCGGAGTGATACCAAATGCACTCCGCCTGTGAGGAATCGATAGTGAAAGTTCGCTTTTTCTGGTTACCATTTGCTCTTGGAAAGGTATGGCACCCCTGATTACCCTATTCTTAACTTTGCCATTTTGGATTATTTAATTAGGATTTGCATTAACTTTGGATTGTTATACATTAAAAACAAATAAAAATAAGACCTACCCCGAAAATAAGACCTAGTGTGTTTTTTTGAGCCAAAAAAAATATAAGACAGTGTCTTATTTTCGGGGAAACACGGTATGTACAAAACCACTATACATTTCACAAAGCAGCTCTTGTGCAATGAACTTCATTTTGCTGTTGTCTCACTGTTCACACAGCAGTGTGTGCAACCGCCCCCGCCCCCCTTGCACCCCATTGCCTGACTGCTACAAATGAATTAAAAAAGTACAGCTGTAATTTAGAATGTATCTATCTAGGTGTAAGCACATGCAGAATTGAACCCCTTAGAAACAGAATTCCTTTAAATAAATCTTATGTACAGTATATGCAGATAGTTTCATGTTATCTTAGGATATGCAACAAGTTACTTACATTTATCTTGCAAACTGTCATGTGGTACCTCCCCTTGAGGACTCTCTTCTAAGTCTCCATAGTGTAACACTTTGTGATTGGGTGAAAGTCGACAATACCAAAACTTATCTGCCAAAAACGAGACCATAAAAATGTTTTTGTTAAAACAATAAGGTTGCAAAGAACACTCCAGTTACATGAAAGGAACATATTTATAAAATGAGTATCTTAGTATTATATTACAATAAGTGGTATTCATAGCAGTAGTAGTATAGCTCTATGAATAAACTAGTTTTGATAACTGTATTTAAATGCATATTCCTGTTGATTTGCAGGTTTCTAAAAAACATGCTTCGTACAGCTCTCCAATACATGCACATTTCCTTTGCAGCAAATCCCATTGATGTCTATGGTGGACACTTTATACTAAATTCTGGCCATTTTCAAGGCTAATAGGCAAGCTATTGCTAAAAAAGGCTATGGGTAGCTTGACACTGCCATGCAGCAGATTCAACCCGTTTGCGGCCAGTGATGTACAGAGTACGTCATTGGCATTGGGTCCATTTAAACAGACTCCTGGCGGCTAAAGGACTTTGTTTACAATTGTAATGCCAACTGTCAGCTTTACAATAGAAGCGACTCTGGCTGCCGTCAGATCGCTTCTACAGGCCGGTAAAGTGCCCACCCCCCCGTGAGATGCCCCCCGCCGTGTTTTCTGGGCTCCGCTGGCCTTCCTGCGGGCACGGGACTGGCATCTTGGGTGTGGGCGGAAAGCTGGGAAGGAGAGCGGGGAACGTTTGTTTTTAAAACAATAAATGAAATAAATGTAAAATAATGAAAAAATAGTCCCCCACCCCTGCAAGCACCTGCGTATTCAAGCAAGCACGGGTCGGGTGCGCCACGTACAAAAACGACAATCACGCTACACATGCTGGTTATCGTCGCGCATGCCAGAGTAAGAGCAATAACTGTAGGGTAAATATTTACACGTATCTCTAAACTGATGAACTGTTTTGGGCTCTTAAAGCATTGTCTATGGACTTTTTGTGGTACTGAATTTTGTTAGCATTTCACGGACGCACACAATTTTTAACCTGGGCATGTTGGGTATCTCTTTACTTGTTATAACCTCATCTTTTATATTTCACTAAAAAAAATATTTTTTGCGGCACTAAATTTAACTTAAGTGAATTTTTCACAATATTTTGGGGTTTGATAAAGAGTTGCGCCAATATTGTGCAACATAAAAATTTGCATCTGCCGCCATTTGATTCTACAGGGTCTCAGCTTTCAGAAAATATATAATGTTTGGGGGTTTCAAGTAATTTTTTTGGCCTAAAATGAGGATTAAAACGTGTGAAAAAACGAAAAAAAGGCCCTTGGCACCAAAAGGTCCTGAGGGGTTAAAAAAAGCAAAAACATGTTTTAAAAAATATTATACAGCACAAAAAGCGATAATGTGATTTACAGGGCGACATGGAAACACACCGATCCTTGAAATTACATGCTTGGGAGATTCCTTTAAGCTATATGTGGCAATACGAAGCAGTATGATTTTCATGGACAGTATCAGCGATACCATATTCTGGCATCACATATTTTGGATGTGTAATCGATTTTTTGAACTTTTACATTGAGCTTGCCTTGCATAAAGCAGCAGCACCCCAATCTAATTCATTTCAATTTGAAAAAAAAGACTTTCTTTAGGTAGTTTTGGCTGTGATCCCTAATTTTTTAAGTTCAGTGTTTTGATTATTTTCAGTAAGGGCAGGCCAAACATACACGTTTGTACATTATTAGGTGCATTGATAAAGTTATGAAACAAGTACAAGATCTCGGCTAATAGATTCTCAGAAACAAATACAAATACATTCACTTTCATTACACAGCACAAAAGATTATATTTGGTAACTTGCATTATTCACAGAAGGGTGAAGAGTTTGGAGAAGGCAGGAGAAGTGAATGATCTAGGACAACATAGCTGAACTGGAAAGTAAGCTGAATTGGAGATTTTTTTCCAAATCAGCTATTTTGGCCTCGATTGTTCACTTCTCCTGCCTTCTCCAAACTCTTCACCCTTTTGGCAATAACCCTTTTGGCAATAACTCCATATACAATGCACAGGCTAAGCATAATATAATAAATTATACAAAGAATAAGGAACAAGTAGCACAACTACCGTACTCAAGTAGGGCTGGATGAAGGGAGTTAAATAACCATGAAAAAGAAATCAGAAAAATAAAGAGAACCATAAAGAAGATGGCAGAACTCCAAAGTTATCAGAGGATTAGGACCATTTCAGTCTATCTACGCTACATACTGTACAATAGGTTTCAAAGCAATGCAGACGTTAGTATGTGACAAGCAGTTATTCAATTTCAAGTGAAATTTTACCTGGGCCTGTTTTTATATGCTAGTATTCTCTCACATTTAACCTTATGGATCACTTCTGAGAGATTGGGAGCATTTGTTTTCACAAGTGCATAATGGTCAATCTTGCTGCAAAAAATATGTGCTACAATAGTTCTGTACTCTAATGGTTATACGCATAGTCTGATACTCAAGAGGTAACTGTGACGTAGGTGATGTGAGTAAACCAGTAACTGAAGATATGAAAAACCAAGGTCCAAAAATGCTGGGGGGAAAAAAACAGAACTTATCAGGGTCTGGGAGCCAAATTTTCAACTGGTCCAGGAGAGGTGGAATAGCCAGTATTTTTGCATACATTTTAGGATCAGTATTAAGAAGTGAAATTGGCCTAAAGTATTGAGAACAGTTAAGGTGCCCACACACCTTACGATAATCGCGGGAAATCCCCCGATCGTACGATTATCGTAGGGGTGTGTGGAAGCCGTGTGACCTCTACTACTGTAAGGTCGCATGACTTTTATCTTAGGAACATGTTCGAAAACCCGCCGAGCATCGTACGATGTTCGGCGAGTGTGTAGCATGTTCGTAAGATAAAAGCCGGACGGGCCGGTGTGCACAAGCGCACACTGCCCGTTCGGCATTGTGGTCATCGGAAGCCCGCCCCTCAGGGGGGCGCAGCTTGCGATCATCGCAAGTACGATCTGCCTGTCCAAGATAGGCAGATCGTACGTTTTTTTAATTACCTTACAACCTTCGCAAGACAAAAGTCTTGCGATGGTTGTAAGGTGTGTGCCCAGCATCAGACATCTACTGATTAGGTCACTATTACCACCTGTAGCATTTCCTTACATGCCAGGCAACTTGTTGTTAGGTAACAATTCTATGAATCTGTGTTTGGACTACTGATCGAAGCTTGTGTATGTTCTCATATCACTTTTCATGAATACAATATGAGGCAAAGCGCCACATGATTTTTTTAATTAAGCTGTAAGCCTAAATTGAACGGTGGAAGTAGCTGCCACAACAGATCTAAAAGCTATAGCAAAGTTTACTCTGAAACTTAAAATAAAGCTAAAGCCCTTCTTCATAAAAATTGACCAGTGGAAAACCAGTTTAATAGTCAATTTCAACAAGCACTTGAATAGGCAGCAAATAGAAAGAGACAAAGCAGGTTTTATTAAAAAAATATGTAATATATTAAAATATATGTAAGCGCTTGGTTAGGCCACAATCTAAGCAGAAGAGATGCAACAGATTATATCTTGCAATAAAAACCAGTGTGTTATCTGATAGACAATAGCCACAAATTTGCTCAGTGGCTGGACAGTATAGAAGTAGTTCGGATAGGCTTCAATATAAGAGGGAGAGACGAGGCAGGTTTTATCTAGAAGTATTCGAGTGCCAGACCACTGCAATAGGCTGCAAACTTTGAAGCATAATGCAGGATTTTCCTTGCAGCAAAGGCTGGAATTTTGGCAGCTGAAGTCCAGGTGTGGAAACTTTTTGTGGCACCTTTACAGTGCCTGGGCATTGGAACTGACCACAAACTGAGACACAAAGCAGGATTTACCCTGCAGTTGCAGAAACATTGTGTGGCTAATTGACAATGTCGGAACAACAGTGGACCAGGTCACGCACTTCGAGACGCAACACTGGATTTGCCCTGCAGCACACACTAGAAATTTGACAGCTGATGTCCAGCTGTAGAAACATTGTTTTGCATGTTTAGCATTCCAGAGCACAGAAGAGGCCTCAGACTTTGAGGCCCAATGTAGAATTTACCCTGCAGCAAACATTAGAAATTTGGCAGCTGAGGTCCAGCTGCAGAAACCTTGTGTGGCACTGGAATAGGCTACAAAGTTTGAGGAGCAATGCAGGATTTTTGCAGAACCAGAATTATGACAGGTATCTTTTTTTTTTCTAGGGGGGAGACAACTAAAAGTTTAGTCTGTAGCATCAGCAGTAGGGTTTTTTTAGTCATTGCTAATTAAAATTTTTTTTAATTTAAAGTGAGTTAGTCCATGCAGTCAGGGGACAAGCAGATTCTCCTCTCTGTAACAAAACCAAGGCCCTCTCAGACAACACACTGGCTGCAAGGCAAGCTAGAAGCTCCAGTGCATACTGTGCAAGCTCCGGCCAGTTGTCCAACATGGACAACCAATAGTCCATGGTGTCCCCACTTCTGAGAGTGTCCTGCACCTGATGTAGTCAGCTGCCTGTGAGTGCTGCCTGTAGCCAGGCCAGACCACTGTGATTTAAAAAAAACCTCTTAAAAGCGAAGCAGAGGCGGCTGCTTAGACAGCTGTTCCTCCTTTCAGAAATAAGAATGATCAAGGCAAAATTGGTCATCAGAGGAGATCATGTCACCATCAGGAAAAGCAACAAAGAGGTTCTTATGCAGCATCTTCAAAGTGCCCCATTTTGGCCTCCCTCTGGCATAGTGGCAGTAGATTTGCCATTTTACCCTTGTATTGGGGGTCTAATAGGGACGCCACTCAATAGTAGTGCCTCTCTAATGACCTGAATCCTGGGGTCCTTGTGCAGGCATTTGAATATAAAAGACCCCATTCACCACAAATTGCCTGCAGCAGAGGACCCCAAGTCTTCGGGGTTGCTGAGGATGATACTATATAAAAATCTCACTCCACCCAGAAACATCCCCATGGAGACATGCAGCCCTGAAACAGCAGCAAGTCCTCCATGTCTTCCTGCTGTTGTGCCCCTAGTGCCTGGTCTATTAGGCTACAATGTATGTGTTC